ATCCCGAAATTAGACGGTCATATTTTAACAGCGTAATCTACATCCTAAAATAGTAGTAAAAGTTCATATAAAGAGGTCCAAAAACTTTTCTTTTCCGAGATACAGGGTGTTAAAGGTGAAGTCCTGATACCACACTTTTGTAAATATTTTCTAAACGTTTAAAGATAATTAGGTAAAATTTGTTACAAATACTTACCTTTTTACGCTTCATTTATTGGACTAAACTCCAGTTATTGATCATCTTCTTAGGTGGGTAAATTAGGGGGAGCTTAGGGTAAAATTGCCGTGTGTGTCTGTGTGTCTATATCCACCATAACTCATGAACCGATACACAGAAAAACACTAAATTTGAAACTTAAGTTTTATTTCGGCCTGACGTGAAATAATTAGATTTTGGACAAAGTCGGAACATCTGGGGGGTACTTTATGGGAGGCCGTTTTTATATTTTATTGAATATATCTGTTATTTATGTTTGGAGAAGAAAATTATTCAAATAAAAGTTACTTCTAATATTATTATCTATAATTTTTGCTTTATGTCAAAATTTCCTGAAATGGTCCGTATTCGAGAAATTTGACAAAATGTGCAAAATTCTAAACTAAACTAAAAGTTGTTTGCGATATCGATCTCTATAATTTTTATTTATACATGATTTTTCTAAAATGGACCGTAATGGAAAAATTGTAGGAAAATTGCTAAATTTAAATTTTTTAGTATATTCGTTTTCAATGAATAACTATAGAAAAATGTTTCGAGGTAGATAGATGTATGTGGAAAATGTATATATTTAGTTTATCCTCTAAACATTTATAGAGGTACTGCAATAAGTTGTACAAAATAACCAGAAAAAGCCTATAATAACTAGAAAGGAAAGTCAATCACTTGATTCGAATATTTTTTTTTTTTTTTTTGAAAAAGGATTCGAACATTGGATCCGTGATTCGAATCACATCTCGTGATTCGGATTCGAGATTCGAATCCATTTTTTCGAGGATTCGTCCCAGCTCTGGGTGACGGCACCTGCATGTTTTTGAATTCGGTTTTTTTTTAATTTTTTATTTCTAATACTTGTAGGATGTAGATTACGCTGTTTAAATATGACCGTCTAATTTCGGGACACCCTGTATATTGGAAATTCGAAATAATAGTTATGACGAAGCGGTGTTTTTCTAATTGTAATCGGACCCTAGGTATATGGATACGGAAAGTGATGAATTGGAGATAGGTAACTTGTATTTATTGTATTAAGGAACAACAAATATAAGTACAATTAAATAAGTATATTAATATAACAATTTTTTAAAGTCTGTATTAAAAAAATTTTTTTTCACATATACTGTTAAATCAAAATTTTCTCTTGGAAGCAGGTGGTTTTTGTGACGCGACAATTATGATGCTTTGCATCTCATGAATTAAAGTTAATTCTCTTTCAATCTTAAGGTGTTCATACCCCTTATAATTATCGGACAAGAATATCTCAAAATATTTAAATTTTGGCAAAAAAAATTAGGCAATAATATCTATAATATGCATATATTTTAATGTTTTAATTCCTTCCAGTTTCCCAAAAAAACTAAAAAGGCTTATATTTTGAAATATCATAATGAAAATAAATGCATTTCTCGACAGCACTATTCTTAATATAATCCCCAAATTTAAGCCTCTAATGTCTTGTTAATGATTTCTTAAAATTCGCCAAAATTAGTGGTTAAAACGCTTCGTTAAGTGCTATCTTCTGGTGTAAACTGGTATAAATTATTGCAAGAAACGAATAATAACAGAGTGTACGATACGATAGTTACAAGCCCGTTACACTGTTTTCCACTCAATTTATTAAAAAAAAAATAATAATAAATTAGGGTGTTAATTTTTTTCTCTGAAGCTATTGGTTTTGGGAAAAAAATTCAAGAATAAAAAAAATTAAATAAATCAAGGATTTCATAAAAGTTCATCTCGAAAAAAAGTTTTGATATGAAATAAAGTAAATGTGGCTAATTTCACCCCCCTATAATGTAACAGAAATATTGAAAAAAATACCCGTGGTTAGTCCTTTGCGATTACAGAATTTCAAGTTTCTAGCTTTACTAAAATTTTAGAAAAAATATAAAAACTCAATTTTAGTCACCACTTTTTAAGGGTGATATCTCGAAAAGGGGTGGGCTGAGGAAATTTTGTTATAGAAAAGACCCATCTTAATTTCATACGAGCACTCAGTTCCTGAATTTTGTCGCATGTATTTAGAAACACCCTGTATATTACACATTTTTTTAAGCGTGCAAAATTCTTGACAATTTCCCTAATTGGCACATGTCGTATTTTTCTAGGATTTACTAACTCTGGCAGCAAACAAATAAAATAGAAATTTGTCAGCTGTGCATTTTTGCCTTTCAGAATTTTTCATTTCATAAATTAACTAAAAACTAAATTAAACAAAAACCTAACAACGCCTCAACAACAAACTAAGACGATCACAATAATTTCGCACCTCTTCAAAAACAACTACCTATTTTTCGACACAGGAATTAACAAATTTAACTAAACGGCAGCTACCCTTTTAACCACGGGCTTCAAAGACTAGCAGCGTTGCCATATTCACTGGTATCATTGTTTTAATAGAATTAGTATCGGAATGAAAACTATGTTAATCTTCGGTCCTGTTTAAAATTGGTAATCTTTTTGAAAAAAAGTTATTTAGAAAATAGTTAAGATATTTGTTATAGAATGCCGGTAAAGAGCCAAAAAATTAAATTTATTAAAAAGTTGAAATTTTTGTTGTTTTTTTTTTTAAATATAAGTTTTTCGCGGTTTAGCGAAATTCTTGGTTCATTTTTACAACGATTGGTCTGAACCATTTTTTTTACAATTTTTTTTTAACTGCCTCAAATGTAAAATTTATTTTTGGTGGAGGAGCGCCCGTCATGTTTGCTCTTAACCCCCTTACGAGTGAATTTTATTCCCAAAAGCTGAGCTTGTGCGGGGATAGGGACGGCTATTATTATTATTTGCCGTGGCGCTTCGGGGCGACTTAAAGATAGATGGTACCATTTGACTTACAGGTGAGGAAAACCCGGAAAACCTCACCCACCATCATCAAGACGGTAATGCATGGCGATTTTTATAATCTGCATGTTATATTAACAGAAATTGAATTTCTATTAATACGGTACACATCAAATCCTATATCGAACCATGCTATTTAATTAAAAATCCACAGGATCTGGTCTGGAATTCGAAGCCCGACAGTCTCTGACCATAAACTTGCCTATAAATGAATATAAGCGCGTTAGACTGCTACACCACCGACCCGAATACTAACTTAAGTTTACTTAAGAAAGCAAATTTTATCCACCTAGGAATAAATTTGTCTTTTATCGTTATCTTTAAAAAAGTCAACCATGAATTTTGCTGTATTTAATAATATACTATTTAGAATTTACTGTCTTTTGTTCTGCAAACTTAACAGCCTTGATTAAACCTGTTTAAAAAATACTGCATGCTTTACTTTTTTCAGTGACCGTTGATTCTTTTCTTTCATATGTAGTATTTTTTATTAACATAAGTTTGGTTACTATGTAGGTATATACATAGTTACAAAGAGCAGACTGAAAGATCAAAGGAGAAACACTATACCTAGTGTCCTGAATCTGAATGAATAAACAAGATAGTAATGAGGATATTCCCTCTTAGTAGTAGAGTTTTTATGTAGATTTTTATGGTATATATTTTAATTTTTTTAAACTATGTTCGTCTTTACATGCATCCGGTTATTAGGAAACAACGGTCTTATCCTGATCCTGATTATTCAGTGATAATAAATCATTAATATATACATACATTGAATAAAATTGGGCCAAGTACTGTGCCTTGGGGTATTTCACATTTGACATCCTTTACACTGCTTGTGCGTTCTACTACTTGAAATTATTGCTTTGTATTCAACAAATAAATAACTCTTGAAAAAAAAAACGCACTACCGCTTATTCCTGGCATCTGTTAAGGTTTCCATCAACTGCTGATGGCCAACAGAATTAAATGCCTTAATAAGATCCAGGAATACAGCTATCGATGACTTTACTCTGGCCCGCTGATGTGTAACTTTTTTTTGTAAGCTCCGTTATAGAATCCTATGTTGATTTGTGACATTGCAGGCGAAATTGCTTTTTTTGCCAAGTATTTTTATTATTTTTTTCTAATATTTTTCTAAAATTGTTGGTAAGTGACACTGGTCTATAATTGGATGGTGTACATTTTATGACCATTCTTGAACGAGGCTTAATTATTAAGATTTTGGAAAAAACTGATTTTTTTCAATGACAAATTAATCAGGTAAGTTATTGATGCTACAATTTCTGTTTTTAATCTTTAATAATTTTTGCTGTAATACAATCTACACCTGGTGCCTTCATTTACGTTTGTAGGTTCAGGAATATTTGATTGTTTACAAGTATTCTAGGTAAATATGGTGATGTTTATTTGACCAATTAGATCCGGACCAACATTCTTTAAATAATTTATAAATATTTCCTCTATTTCTGATTCAACATTTGTTTTTTTTTAATGTCTACTTTATAGATTTGTTTAAGAGCAAACAGAACTCCTTGAACATTTATAATTACTGCTGAACCTTTACTTTTAGTTAAATTTTTGTGAAATTTTCAGAATATTATTATTATTATTTTCAATTTTTGTTTTTTTCCAATGTGTTTGAATTGTTTGAATACAATAAATTCTCTTTTAAATATATCATCTTGTTTAAAATATTTTATATACCTTACCTGTGTGCAATTGATTTCCTTAATTCGTTAGTTATTCAACTTGTCTTTTTGTTGTTTTTTATGACGTATTTTTTAAGAAGAATAAAATAAAATAAAATAAAATTTTAATAAAAATTTGTATTTAAAATACAAATAGTAATTGGAATATAGGAAAAAATAAATATTATAATAATATTAACCCTTATGTTTCCTAAAGATACAATTAATCATTCGAGAAAACTTACGGAAACAGTGAAGGCGCCGTAGATAAAATAGAGCAGCAATCGCTTGGGGCACATTGAGGCGCGCATCGCTGCGAATTTTCACGACATCTCACGTTCGTCAGCCACTTCGCACACGCAAACTTTTGAGACGCGCCGATGCGCGCTGCTTAAGGTTTAACGACACACTGACACTCGATTGCACCGCCATTACGCTCGCCACTTCTTATTCTTCGGCGCCTTCGACCTGGCTCCGGGCGCTCCGGGCAGCCCGGAGTCGTACTAGAAGAGGCGGCGTTGCCGCTCATGCCGAAATTTCCCCAGATCAATGAATGTATTGACATTAAAGTGTTGATTTTAATTATTATAACAAATGACGTTCCGAAAGAATTTTAGGAAAGTGACATGTGTTATAGATGCCGACCTCCTATCATAGATTGTCATTATTATATACCAAAGATATCGGATAATAGATACGCCTTGTGTACATTACACTTGTCCGCAACTACCTTTTGACGGTACGCTCTTCCTATGTTGTCTGATCTCTGTCATCAAATATCAAGCATTAAATTTTTATTAAAAAAATTACTATTTTCTTTAATATAATATAATAAAAAAAGAAAATAAAGAATTGAATGCATTAATATGAGTTTTTTATTAATTACAATCGCTTAAGACTTTGTGTTATGGTATTAATAAACATTCTGAAATATATCCATTAAATTTAGCAACCTAAGACATTTTGCTGATTATGTTTTATTGTGATTTTTTGTAGTTTTCAAGAATAATTTAAACCCTGAACTTTTTAATAAGAACTTTTACGATGGGGAGGAAATGTGTAGCGTGCCGAAATACGCAGAATAAGAATTTTATTTGGTCATTTCATGAGTAAGATTATGTTAGCATAGACGTAGACAAATACAGGAAATAAGGCTTAATTTATTGTTAAAAGGAACTAAGTAACATTTTTACGTTTTTGACTTTAAAACATGAAACGAAACTTTGAAGATATTTCTTTCGTTTGTTAAAGAAGGTACCGATAACTACCGCTAAAATAATACACAAGCAATATAGTTAGACGGTTCCTTCTTACATCAAACGAAAGGAATATCTTCAAAGTTTCGTTTCATGTTTTAAAGTCAAAAACGTAAAAATGTGTCTTAGTTCCTTTTAACAATAAGCGATTCAATTAGATACGCAGGTATCTTATCGGTTGCAGCCGTCATTTTAGGTTTTAACTTTTTTAATGCATTTAATACCCCTTCAATATTTATAGGATTAGGAATAGTGTAATTGGTGTAATTCGCTGAGAAAAAGTCCGCGAAACTGTTTACTATATCCTGGGAGGTGCTAAGCTGTGTGTCATTATAAGTCATATTATTGGGTATTGAAGAGAAACTTCCACGTTTTGTCTTCACTAATGACCAGAGCTCCTCTAGAATAAATGTTTTACAATAATTTGACAATTTTTCTAATTTAAATTTAATAGAAATTAAAATAAATATGATCTTCTGCTTGACTTCGATTTTTCCACGGCAGCTAGTCATATGTAAAGCAGATTGAGTAGTCTTAGAGGAAGATGATTATTACCCCTTTTTTGAGTATTGATGTTTTGAATAAAATTAGAGTTAAGAGCTTACAATATATAACAGACCATGTGCAGCATAATTATAAAATAGCAGATTTTTCTCATACAATATTAATTGGACCGTTCATGATTTTGCAGACAATGTAAAGAGTTCAACTATTGAACAATGAATTATTTATAACTTTTAATCAGCATATATCTGTTAAAAACCCAACGTTGAGACTATCCTCCTTGATATGGTTATACAATATCATGATTAGTAAAAGGAAAAGCTCACCAAACCTATAAATCCGATTATTATATAGATACGTTTACTAAATTTGAGAATTTAAGAACAAATTAAAAAGGCACTTCTATAGCTCACTCTTCATATTTAAGTTCAATTAAAAATGATTTAAAACAATTCAGGTCATATTTTAATTCAAAAAATTCTTATTTTATACCAACCACTATTGAATACAATAAAGATTGCATGCGGTATCGGCCACCGAATACCGTCTAATATCCCTTGAAATGAAGTTATTATTAAAGCCATAAAAAAATACACCTAATTATATCGATCATTTTATAACTTTTATAAGTTCCTTGAAAAGTCTTCAATAAAAAAATTGGGTTTAGCCTTCAAAGCAAAGAAAATTCTATATTTCTCACAGTTATAAGTCACTCATTATGCATTAAACTATTAAGTATCTTTTGGATCTAAGAACGAATTAATATGGCAACATTGGTCAAACACACCGTTACTTATGACAAGGTTAAAATAGTAATCGCTGTTTTTTCTTTCAGAAGAAGATGTCATTTTTGATTTTTGTGAGTCAAACTTGACATTGGTGCCTTGAAAATTAATATGAAAAAGGTGAAATGTTTTGAAATCGAAAAAAAAAATATGATTATTAAGATATTTCGATTCTATATACCAAGACAATAAAGAGAATGACGTACATTTTTGAATTTTTATAATACTCATGATTTTTTTTTAATTTAAAATTTTTCTATGACCCACTAAGAAAAATATAAAAATTATCATAAAGATAAAATAACTAATTTAAAAATAATTTATGAGTTTTATTAATTTATAAAATAAAATAAACTTGAAAAAAAGATTTAATTTAATTGGTCTCCAATTCTTGAATTGAACCCGGGACCTCTGCATGACAGCCAAATGCCCTAGTCTCTGCTCTATCGCCACACATAAAATTTTAGTTTTACTACTCGTAATTAAATTTATTTCATATATTTTTGTTAAAATAAATGGTTCGTTTGTAAATATAAACGAAATACAAATAGAAATGCTATTATTTATCGATTCTATATGTGTAGTTAATCTCAATAACTAAAAAATATACTAACAATTATTTTGACAGAATTGTCACTTATTTAAAAAATAGTAGCCGGGTGGCCGGGTGACAAAAATATTAAATGTGATTGGAAAATTTCATATTTGTGAAGTTTTTTTACTATAGTCTGAATAAAAGAGGAGGGCAGTAAAAGTGGGGATATAACGTCCCATTCCATAGGCGTACTTTGTAAAATAATTTTCTATAATATAAATAAGGTCACGGCATAAAAAATGGTATATACGCACTTCGTAGATTAAATTTTAAATTAAAAAAGTTATATAATTTGCAAAGAATAAAAATAAACCTTATGGCCTGTGACACAATTGTTGCACTTTAACATTGAACGAATTAAATTAAAACCAATAAATAATAAGGATGATTATATGTTGTTAATGAGATTAAACTTTTTTTAATCTCTTGAAAATTAAAAGTAACTCTTCAGTACCAAAATCAAAGATTAAAAAAAAATAAATAGTTCAAAAACTATCTTTAAAAGTTATTGTCTTCACTATAACTACTGGTATCATTACCATTGTCTTTTCTGAGGTTTATTAGTATAGAGTCTATTGAGACTTGCATTTTTAGCCGCTCAAATAACTAGGGATGTGATAACCAGAATGTGATAATGATTCACATTCATCTTCAAAAATATTTATTAGTGTTCCTAGTAATTTGGAAAGAAGAAAATCAACCTTCTTCTACTAGCGATGTTTCTCGTCAACTTTTTAATAAAAATACACCGGATATTCAAGATGTAGCAGCAATTTCTGCTAATTGTCTCCTTCAGGAAATTCAAAATGAGGCTACTATAAATTCTTAGGTGTATAACCTAAAGTGGGTATTTAAACAAACTGGTTCCTGGATCCCATATATTGGGGTCTATTCTGTAATAATTCCTTTATATTTAACGGCCTTTAAAAATATTGGCGACCTTTAAAAATATGTTTGTATTCGTTAATTTACTTCTGTCATTATTTAAACAGATTTCTTTAAGATAGTGTTCTAATGTATTTTAAAGATCCGTTTAAATAATGACAGAAGTAAAGAAGAAAATATTTTTAAATGCCATTAAATATAAAGAAATTGTTACAGAATAGACCCCAATGGCAGATAGGTGGTTTAAGAATATTCAGTAATTACTTAAAAACATGGGATGCACTTTAGTAAGGCCACCTAGTGTATCACAGAATGAAAAAAGTGCTCCAGAAGATGTACGATTAAGTAAAAGAATAGCATCTCTAAGAATACATGTGGAAAGAGTTATAAGAAGGGTTAGGGAATTTCTCATGTTAAAACCACATTCCTGTGTGAATTATAAGCAAGTACATTTGCTTAGTAATATCTGCATAATTGCTTGTGGTATTGTTAACTTACAAGAACCTATTTTGTAAGAGTAAATATTAATTTAATAAACTTTTTTATTTGTTTTTTAATTTGATTTACCTAATTATCACATTTCAGAGATTATAATGAAGGATTTTTAAACAGCCAATGCAATTTTTTATAAAATTTTAACTTTTCGAGCAAATCAAAGCGGATTGAGTACCTGTATATGCATAGATTTTTTTGGGACTAAAACTACCAAACCAAAGGCACCTATTTACAGCAGTTTAAAATGAAACATTGCAACAAAAACAGCCTATGTCACAGTGATAAATATTAAAAACAGCCAATTTCAGTTGAATGTGGTAGCAAAGTCTATATATTCCAATAAGTCAGGTAACTACTACATGTGGTATCACTGGTGATAAATTTAAAAATATGACAATTCTTGTCATCTTTTTCAAAAAACCAGCAAGTGTGCCTTCTTATCAATCCTTGACGAAAATAAAAACAGTGATAAATGTGAAAAAAAATTTAATGTTGCTATTCCTTATTACGATAGTAAAACATGTTTGCAGTTCTGTTTATTTTTTATGGAAATTTAAGTAAAAACAACCAATGTCAAAGGATTATAATTTTTTCTCTGTCAAACCAAATATAGAACAAAATTAAAAATTGATCCTAGGTGAAGCTAAAGTAATATCTTTATTGATAGTAGCTTTAAAAAATGAGAAAGAATAATATTGACTTAAGTTATTATTATTAACATTGGTGATTTTTAATAAAAACTCTTCAATTATTGTTTACAAACAAAAATATAAAAATCTGTGAAAATTTTATTTATTAACCTTTTAATAAAAAATGAGAAAAATGAAGTAAAAAACAATTTATTTACAAATAAAAAATATATATATACCAATCCTAAGAATATGAAAGAATATAAAAGTACTGATTTATTTTCCTGTAGTGGATGAAGAGGT